ATTGACTGAAGTCTCATCCAGGATTGCCTAATTCGCTGTTTCGTAAAAGAGGCCGTTAAGACAAAATAGATAAAAATAGAATACTATTTCAAAAGATTTGTCGTCTCCTATGATACGCTCGAAGCCTAAGCAAGACCCACAATCGATTTTTCTTTTTTTTTACTTCGAAACCTGGAAAATTGCTGAAAGCAATTTCGAAATTGACGTTGCAACCCCTTAAACATGGAGGGAAAAATTAATCATTGCTGATCGGCTTAGACAAAGGGCATTTTCACGCTATTGGACATTATTTCAGGAGTATTTCAACGCTGACTTATACAAAATCACAAGAGTTGTGAAGGATTTTTAGGAGTTTTTACAGTTTTCTACGTTTTCTACCTCATCAACCGCTGTATCGGCCCTGCTGATCCATTAGATCAATCAGTGTCGTGATGAGTGGGGTCCTGCTACTTGAACAACAGCATGTCCTCTACACCACCCTGCACTGGCTTGTGCTCTGAAGAGAACAAACAGGCATCTCTTCACGGAGTCGAAAAAACACGGGAAGTAGTGGTTATAAGTTACAATGCTCAATTGGCGTAGAGTGAAGTTTTCGGGGTTCCTTCCAACGGTGGAAGAGATCTTCACATCACATTGGACAGCTATCGCCTACCTCAAGCTGGGCAGCCCCCAGCTAGTGAGGTGCTGTCCCGCTATGGTCTACCTTCCTCTTTAGGTGTATGAGGATTAGTAACGCCGACAAGCAGATCGTAACTTCCTTACCGGACAATAACACTTTTTTATCACAAAGAAAAATCAACAAGAAAAAAACAGCTCTTAAACTGGGATGTTCGAACTTCCACACGATGACAACCGGACTTGACGGCCTCCTGAAGATCAGTGACGCAAGAAAGACAGCGGTCATCAACGACGAGCTACTGAGACTAAAGGTAGACACAGCCACTCTACCATAGACCACGGAGTAGCGTTTTCAGTCGGCAACACCTTTCTGAAGATGTTTGAACCAGGGGATAAGGGATCAGAACGCCTGCTGCCTCTCTGCCTCCATACTTTTGTAGGACTAGTAACACTCATCAGCGCCTTTGCCCCAACCTTGACCTCCATACCTGAGGCAAAAGACCTATCTGAACGATACCATCAAGAACATCCACAGCAGGAATCACCTTGTCCTCCTTGGCGACTTCAACGGCAGTGTAGGTGTAGACCATGGGTCTTGGTCTTCCTGCTTGGGTTGTTTTGGAGTTGGCAAGATAAACGAGAACGGGCAGCACCTGTTGGAGCTTTGCTCTCATCATGGCCTCTGCCGAACCAACTCCTATTTGCAGATGAAGCCACAACACAGAATGTCATGGTGCCACTCTCGATCTAAGCACTGACACTGGCTCGACATGGTCATTGTTAGACGTACAAAACTAAGCATGTGCTTCTCACCCACTCATACCACAGCGCTGATTGCGACTCCAACCATTCACTAACATGTTGCAAGATCAAACTGCTACCAGAGAAACTTCATTGCTTCAAACATTTAGGGAAGCCACGCACTGACAAAAACAAGATGTAACATTAAGAGAAGCTTGAGGATTCACAAAGTCTCTTGAAGATGATCTGTCTGCAGGCCACCAATGCAACACCGCTTCTAGGTCATGGAACCACCTGCATGAGGTAATTCAGAAATCAGCTCTTGCTACCTTGGGAGGAAGACTTCAAAGAACTACGACTGGTTTGAAGCCGAGTCGGAGAAGTTAATTCCTGTTATTGTTACATAGCATGCTTCCCTTGCTGAAAACAAGCGCTCACCAATTGAGAAGACCCTCTAAGCAATCAGATCAGCCAGGAGCAAAGTACAGCAGAGAGCAAGAAGATGGGCCAGCGAGTACTGGCAGGAGCCCAGTAACGACATCCAGACTGCAGCAGCAACTGGCTACATCAGGGGCATATATGAGGGCATCAAGAAAACTCTTGGACCAACCTAGAGAAAAAAAGCATCCCTGAAAACCAGCAGCGGAGAAGTGATCACCGACAAAGTTGAGCAGATGGAGAGATGGGTGGAACACTACTTAGAGCTCTACTCCAGAGAGAAGGTTGCTTTCACCTCAGCAATGGGTGCCTCTGCCCATCATGGAGGAGTTAGAAGCTATACCAAAACTGCAAGAAATCAGCAAGGCTATTAACAGCTTAACCTAGAGCAAAGCCCCTGGGAATGATGGCAT